TGTTAACATACAATATATTTATTATCATTGCTATTATTATATTTAAATGAATAAGTAAATAAAGATTTAAAATATTTTTTAGCTTTCATTTATAATACAGTAGATACAAAAAGTTCTTTGGGATTCTCAACGATCTTTAAAAGTACGTAAGAGTTCTGAGACCAAAATGTATGAGGATTGCTGTCTTAAATCTCCATTAATCACTTGAACTCACAAAATTGTGGGAATTTGTAAGTGCGGTGGTAGAGGCCAAAAGAGGAAGGTGACCTTCCTTACTACTCAAGGTCACATAGTGAGTCAGAGGCAGAGATGGGTCTAGATCCATGATCTCTGGCTATAGTGTGTTATACAACCCAAACTTCTTCCCCACGACACTCTTCAGAATGCCAGCATCACAGTTTTGAGATACTCAAGCCATAGATAGGGAGCGATAACCATCCTCCCCTCAACATGCATCTGCTCAAACGGGAACGGGTACCAACTAAATTTCAGGCACCTGTGCTTGTTGCTGCTGAGGGCAAAGTAAATAAAAAGTGGCCTGTGTGTAGGGGGTAACCAAGCTTACCATTTAGAGGGAGAGACTACATGAAAGACAGTATGTCATAGCATAGGCTATGACTTACCTGGCATGTAATGTAATGTATATTCATACAACCTATATAATTCTCTTTTGCTATTATTATCATACACAATATTGTATGTTATATAAGTTTTATTATATCGACAGCATATAATATAGTATGGTAGAGTATAACTTATAGTGAATACATTTAGTATATCTAGGAATGGGGAAGTACTTTGGGGTCACAGTTGGCTGGCAATTTTGTGCATGGGCACTAAGGCCCGTGGCAAAGCAGAACTGTGAACTTGGGAAGTTTGCCACCGTGCTCCTTCTGACACTTTCTGGCTTGCATTAGTTTTCGAGGGCTGTCATAACAAATCACCATAAACTGCGTGGTTTTTCCCACACACAGAAATTTATTCTGGAGGCTAGAAGTTGTACATCAAGGTGTCAGCAAGGCCATGCTCTCTCCAGAGGCTCTAGGGAAGGCTTCTCTTCCTCATCTCTTCTAGCTTCTGGGGTTTCTGGCGATCCTTGGTGTTCCTTGGCTTGTAGAGGGAGGACTCCAATTTCTACCTCTGTCTTCACGTGAGCTTCTCTCCTGCAAGTCTGTGTTCAAATTGCTCTCTTCTTATGAGGACATCAGTCATATTTAGGGCCTACCTTAATCCAGTATGATCTCATCTTAACTTGATTACATCTGCAGAGACCCAAATGAGGGCACACTTACAGGTTCTGGAAAGACATGAATTCGGTGTATGTGTGAGGCATTATTTAACCTAGTACACTGCTTGTGTGCTTACCCTCAATCCTCACTGTTCACAGCCTCTTCATCATCCCTCACATTTTCTCTCACACTTTTCAGGGCCTGGGGTCCCGTTGAGCCTCACCTGGCCACCCTCTGTTGGGTTTTGAGTGGTTGCCACAAGCTCTCTTCATTTAATCCATAAGTTTAACAAAGGGCTTTTCGGAGCCACATAACTGGTGAGTTGTGAAGGAGGAAAGAAAGAAACTGAACAACTCAATAGTTAAAAAAAAAAAAAATGAATACCCTGATTAAAAAATGGGCCAAGGACTTGAATAGACATTTCTCCAAAGGAGACGTAAATAGCCAACAGGTATATGAAAAAATCTCAATGTCACTCACCATCAGGGAAATGCAGATCAAAACCACAATGAGATACCACCTCACACCTGTCAGGATGGCTATCATCATAAAGCCCAAGGTCAACAAGCATTGCTGGGGATGCAAAGAAATTGGGACCTCTGTGCACTGTTGGTGGGAACGCAATTGGAGTAGACGCTGTGGAGAACAGTATGGAGGTTCCTCAAAAACCTAAAAATAGAACTACCCTATGATCCAGCAATCTCACTTCTGAGTATTTATCCAAAATAACTGAACTCAGGATCTTGAAGAGATATTGGCACTTTCCCCTTCAGTGCAGCACTGTTCGAGACAGGAAAGAGGTGGGAGGAGTCTACGTGACCATGGACAGGTGAATGGATAAAGAAGCTAACTACGGCGTATACACACCGTGGAATACACTCTTCAGCCTTAACATGGAAGGAAGTTCTGAAAATGCCACACCGTGGATAAACCTTGAGGACATGATGCTAGATGAGTTCAGTCAATCACAGAAAGACAAATATTGCCCAATTTCATTCATATGAGGTCACTAAAATTGTCAACCTCATAGAATCAAAGAGTAGAATAGTGGTTTCCAGGGCTGGGGGGAGGGGCAACGAGGGGCTGCTATTCAGCGGGAATAAAGTTTCAGGTAAGCCAGGAGAATCAGCTCTAGAGCTCTGCTGTACCACACCGTGCCTGTGGTCAATAGCAACATAGGGTCCACTCAGGATGCCTAAGGGGGGAGGTCTCATGTTAAATGTTCTTACCACAAGAAAGGAGAAGAAAAGAGAAAAGAGAAAAAAAAAGAAAGAGGAAGCTGAGAATCTTTACATGTTAATTCTACGGCTCCTTTGGCAATTTTTTTTACCGGGTAGCATCATGATTTACGACAGAGCATAGTTTACTGGGCCTAGCATGATTTATGGCAACAGGGAAAATGTGGGGAGCTGTGAAAGTCAGCATCCTCTGCACCTTGGGCACAGCTGTGTGCACACAGACAGAAGGGTGGGATGTGTGCATATAATCCCAGCACTGTCACCTTCAGCTCTGTGACCTACGGCCCCAGGTTACCTGTTTGGGGCTTCAGGTTGGACTCTGGGCATGACAGCAGGATCTGGAGCCAGATCGCCTGGGTTCAAGCCAGGGACCCTTAGGCTGCTTATCTCCTCTCTCTGTGCCTCAGTTTCCACATCTTGCAAAAGGGTGATAATATCCCACTACATAGGCTTCTCATGAGGAATAAATGAGTTAATATATGTGAAGTATTTTGAACAGTGCCCGACAATGTAGACATTAGTTGTTGTTATTATATGAATTTTCTATCCAGTTAATAAGAATTCCAATATTTTACTGGTTCCTCCTTCAATTCCCTTATCATCACTCTCCCACTGCCCCCACCAGAGGTAAAATAGGGGACAGTATGTGGATGTGGCTTTTAATTCTTCCCATGTCACTTATAAAACGGGCCCTGGGGAACAGTTCCTTTGTCAGGATGTCTTAAAGGACCAGGAACCAGGTGCCTGTGGAGTGAGTGCTTCTTGGGAAGCTCTTAGGGAGCCAACATCATAAACTCCAGTGAGCACCAAGCTATTATTTAATTAATAGTTGCCTGTCTGAGTGTGGCTTTATCGGTAACTTTAGCTCTGTGGGTAGGTGTGGTGCCCACAATGTGGCCTCCCACCTTTCAGATTTTGTATAACGGAGCCCATGGTGTCTCAGCTACTCAGGAGTGCATCTGTTTCCAGCACCGAGGAAAAGCGAGACCTGAATAAGGATGGGGCTTTTGGCGTAGTTAAGAGAGAGGTAAAATAACTGTAATTTCATAGCAATTACCTACAACCAACACCGTCAAAGGCGCCAGTTTTCCGTGATAAACCTGAGCCTCTGCTGGGAGCAATTTGCAAGGTAGAAATAAGCACACAATTAGGCTCTCATGTATGAAAGAAGGCATCGGCCCCTCCCCATCCAAATGCCACAGCAAAACAAACCTCAAAGGGGAAAATACTGTGTTGCATTTTGGGAGTGCATTTTTTTTTTCCTTCTTTAAAAAAAAATCTTAATAAGCCCCCATTCCAGGATGTTGTTTAGGTTGTTTGCAGCTTTGCCAGGAAGCCCGGGAGCCTTCACTCCCCCGGCCCTCCCTGTCCGTTGGAGGAAGGCACTCCAGCCACCCGATGGGACCACGGTTTCCAGGGGAGCCACCAGCAAACTAGAGTGAATGGGTGATTTCTCCCTCTAAGTACCATGTCAGGGGCCCACAGACCACTCCATGGAAATAAATTATACAGAGATCAGTTTCCCAACATTTTTGTTTGTTCATGCATTTGCTGAAAATGAATTCCTTATAAAATTCATGTCTCTGCAACCCACTCAGAAGTAAAGCTAGACTTGCCTTTCAGATGATAAAACAAAAAAACAAAAAAGCCACTCTATTTTGAGAACGGTCCCAAGAAAGGGAAATCTAGTGAACAGAAGTATGTAAGCACTCAATAGGGCTATCTGTTATTGTTATATATGTGTTCCTGCCCTATCCGCCAGCCAACCCCACAGAAGGCCACAAGCTCCTTGACTAAATGCACTTTTGAAACCCCTGTGTGATTTTCTCCAGTGTCTTGCACATAATTGAGAGTGAATTGGCATTTATCGATGTTTAGTTTAACAAATGATGGCTTATTGACACTGAAGGTCAAGTACTGGTCAGAACTAAGGGGGCTGTTGATTAAAATCTTGAGTCTGCTGTCTAGATATAGAGAGATGAGGTCAAAGTCTGAGGTATTTGTACTCATGATATATCATGGAGCAAAGACCAAAGGGTAGAACAGAGTTAATTAGAGAGGAACATAGTTTGCCCAGGTATAGCCAAAGAAAAGCATTTTTAATCGTTAGAACTACCTCAGAATGGACTGCTTCGAGAGATATAAATTACTGGTTCATGAAGATGTTTAAGCAGAAACTAGATGATTACTTGGGGGTATAGAAGTTGGTGGTCCAACATCATTTATGTTAGACTGTGTGATGTTGAAAGTCTCCCTTTCCCCTGAGATGCTAGGGTCCTATGGTTTTGGAAAGTTATGACTACATAATCGTCAGGCTGGGGACTCAGACTCAGTCCAGCACCTATTTATTGAGTCCTTACCGTGTGCCAGGCATTGCCCCACATAGACCTGAGGAAGACGACAATAAGATAGGGCAGCTGCCTTTGGAGTTAGGCTGGATCATGGCTTTAGTCAGTTCTCCATCGGCCGTATATTCCTTCTTGGCAATATGCACATGCTGATTTAGGACTCTGGTTCTTTCTCTTCCTTTTAGGCTGGAATCGATGGGGAAAGCATTGGCAACTGTCCCTTCTCTCAGCGACTCTTTATGATCCTCTGGCTAAAAGGCGTTGTGTTCAATGTCACCACTGTGGATCTGAAAAGGTAAACAATGCTGTATTAAGGAGGGATGTGTTTGGCTGCACGAACAGAGGACTTTTCATGAGGGAGGGCGGAAGCCTGCCCGTGGCTTCCAGCAGCCTCCTGCTCTCACCACATTGACCAGACTGTCTCAGGGCCAATCCCTGATTACAAGAGAGGCACCTGGAACTGAGCATTTCTCTGCCCAGATTGACAAGGTTTGAGTAGCAAGAAAGGGGGAAGGAGTGGATATTGGATATGCAACTGAAGAGTGGCCCAGAGGTGGGCATGCATATCTTAAAATCCAGGAGTCAGCCATTCCAGCGGTACCATCCTGGGGGACTCTACCAGGACTTAGCAGTACTAGCGCCCCATCCTGGGGGACCCTACCAGGACTTCAGGTGTAAGAGTCTGAGTTTCCAGGGCATTGGCATCTGACCATTTCCCCTTGCGTTGCTCTCATTTTTAGAATTCCTTAGTGTGAGAGTTCTGGATTATAGGCTGGGGATGGAGAGTTCCTCGTGCACTTTTAATGGTTGTTAAAAATACCAGGCATCATTCACTATCAAGAGCCACTCATTTCAGGCTCGTATCCTGCCTCCTGTCTTCTGCCTGTCGTTTCAATGCGGAGTAGCTCAAGGCTCACTCCCTGAGCCTCTGTCATCTGCCTGTAGCTTCTTCCCTGGTGAGTTTAGCATATTCTCCATGTCGCCTTTATGTAAATTATTCTATACCCGGGACTCTACCATCTAGAAATCTCTAGAGAGATTTCCATTTGCGTTTTCTATTATCACTTTAATATCTAGATGTCAAAAATTATATCTGTCGTTTCTGCTTTGAGTTGGGCTCCCCTCCTGAATTCCTGGGTTCTTCCATTTTCTAAGCACTGGAGAATTTCCAGCTCCCTTCTCTTGCCATCTCCCTTGTCAACCAGTTGCCAAAGGCAGGGCATTGTCCCCCTGTGCTACGGCTCACCGCTGAGCCCTCTCCTCCGTTCCCAAAGCCCACACTGGGTTCGGGTCCCACCACTGCCTTCAGACTGTCTCTTTGTTCTTCCAACTGGACATCTTCCGTCCGGGTTCTCTCTCACTCTCTGATCCATCCTCTATATAATCCTAAGGTTACTCTTCCTAAAATAGTTCTTTAATCACGTGGCTCCCCCACTCAGGAAACCTTCTGATACTTCCCGTTGCCTGTGGAATAAACCCATCTGTAGCTGTTTGTCAGATCTTCAGCTTTCCACAACATTGTCTCCCAACGCTTCTCACCCTGACCTAGCCGCCTCTGTCTGGCTGGACTACCTCTCGCCCCATCCCCTTTAGCTGCCAGCCCCTGGCTAGGATGCTTCCTCTGCCTCACAGACGCTCCCCTGCCTTCCTGAATGGACAGACTGTGCCCAGTCCCCAGGCGCAGCAGCTTCAGCCTCCCTCCGCTGGATTATCATCTGCAAGAGTGCACTTGTATGTTTGGCTGGGGATCAGAATGGGAAGGGAAGCCACCTCAGCATTCCTCAGATGCTTATATTGCTCCTTCATATCTGTTATCTGACCCTACCAATGCCGGGCAATATCCTAACTCCAGTTCAATAGATAAGGAAACTTTCTTACTGCAATAAATAAATAAATAAATAAATAAATAAATAAATAAATAAACAAACTTTTTAAAAGGACAGAAAAGGAAAGAAACAAAAACAAAGAAAGAAAACATATATATATAATAAAGAGTTAAGGACTTTTTAAAACATATGATACTATGGGGACGCCTGGGTGGCTCAGTCAGTTAAATGTCTGCCTTTGACTCAGGCCATGATCACAGGATCTTGGGATCGAGTCCCGCGTCGGGCTCCCTGCTCAGCGGGGAGCCTGCCTCTCCCTTTGCCTGTCATTCCCTCTGCCTGTGCTCTCTCTCTCTCGCTCACTGACAAATAAGTAAGTAAAAATTTTTAAAAAAACAAACATATGATACGATGAAGTTTAGCAATTTCTAAGAATATTAATTTCCTATCCTGGCATCACCATTTGTTGGCTGAGTGACCTTGAACAAGGTCCTTCGTTGTCTGAGCCTTGGTTTCCTCGTTGTACAATGGGGACACAAGCACTGCCTCGTCCGCAGAGGAACCGTGAGGATGCCGTGAGGCAGGCCACGGAGAGCATTTACGTTCAGGACTGTGCCTGGCTCACAGCGGGCACAACATGCTGACTCTTTGTAGCCTCATCCCTTCCCTCACGGAGCTGGTGAGGCAGTCAGGGAAAGAGGACCGACAGAGATGAAATAGTCCATAAATTAGACCTGGCAATATCGAATTAAATGCGAATTGCATAATTTCAGCCATAAATGCTGAAGAGGGTCCATAAAGAGAGAGGCCGACAGCTGACCAGGGTCCTGTTGGCCGAGTCCAGCGGAGCACCATCCGTAGGCAGTACCCCCCAGGGATGCCAGCAGACTCCAGAGGCCATTGTTCTCTCGAGTCACAGAGGGGAAAAAAAATAATTTCTGTTTCTTTAAGCAACAGAGAGGCAATGGCAGAAAAATACAATGAGTATAGATTTCCCCTGCCTGCTGAGAATCCGCACATTTCTGCCTTGTTCTGCTCTGAAAAACAGGAGGAGAAGGTAAAGAATGTCCTCTAATTGTCCAAAGGAGGGAACGCACACCAAGTCAACAAAGGGACCAAGTAGATGAGATCTTAAAACCACTCTCGGTCCCAGCTGTCTCAGGAGTTCCAAGTACCACACAATGTAGCCGGAGAGAATGTGTGTTTGGGGAGTGATATGGGAGTGAGCACCATGATTGAAATTCTTCCCTTCCCCTCCCAAACTGATTATGCCAGGAATTTGTTTCATTACAGACTCCTCTACCCCTTGTTTACTTTTTCTTCAGTTGCTCCATCCAATGTTTTCTGCTCCCGACTCCCACAAGTGTTGCCTTATCTGCGAGAGCATTTGCGGTGAATCTGCTGTTCCAGCCTGGCTCAGGGATGTGTGCATTCTTATTCTTCCTCTTCCTCACTGTTTCTTTTGGCATTGCCCCCCACCCCGCATGCCCCCCATCCACCAACTTTCCTTCTCTCACTTTGCTCCAACCGTGCTCTTGCATTTCCACCAGCTGGTGGAAACATGGAAGCACGCCCTTGGGCATGATCGGGGCCGTGGCGAGCACAAGGCCACTGTCTCTCCTGTTGCACATTCTCTTAACAATGCAGAAGATATCTCTTAGTATAAATGTATGATTGAATTCTGATTTTTTAAAGGTTGGCATCCTGTAGAATGCATTTTTGTTAAGCTAGGTGGCAAAGGACCTTTTGAAAACAAAGCCCAGCCTCTGCCCTGTGTATTAAAATCTTGGTACTCATTTCGACAGCCACCTGCCATCACTCTGTTTTTTCACTAGGACTCAACTCCTTCATCTTGACTTATTCTCATGACTTCCACAGGACAGACTTCCTGTGTCACACCATATCCCTTCAGAACTTTCTCCAACCTCCCCTGCTCTAGGCACCCCCACCATAAGTCTGTTTGGCGGACAGGCATGCTGGACAGCCCAGGGTGTCTAATTTACAAGCTGCAGATTCCCCCAAAGTTGAGGTGTCCTGGTGTAAACCACCTCCTGAATCTCGATCTCTCTACAGAAAGCCGGCAGACCTGCACAACCTTGCCCCTGGCACCCATCCACCCTTCCTGACCTTCAACGGGGATGTGAAGACGGACGTCAATAAGATCGAGGAATTCCTGGAGGAGACTTTGGCTCCTGAAAAGTAATGAGCTGCTTATTTCTGAAGCTAATGGCAGGGGTGGGTCCTTGTTGGAATTAGAGAAGCACAGCGTTAGTTTTGAGGAGGCAGATTTCCAAAGGAGCCTCATCAGTCCAGAGCGTAGGACCCTCTTCTCAAGCCCAGAGAATTGCCAATCTCAAAACCGCTCCACCAAGTCCAACTCCAAGAGTGGACACCCCTATGAACAGGCTCTGCCTCCTCAGCAGAATGCTGGAAAGTGTGCCACCCCTCCATCCCCCTCCATGAGTCCTCCCCAGTTAACTTTGCCTGAAAGACCCCTAAACGAGGGCAAAGTCTCCCCCATTTTAGAACGAGAACTGGAAGGCTGACAAAATGAGAGTAAGCCAGGAGAGAGGTAACCCCCTGACTTAAAACCACACCCAAGTATAAACAGGAGTAACAAATCTGACCATGTCTGGTCAAAGCCCATAATCAAAGATGTAAAGACTGACTCCTTTTCTAAACTGGGCCCTGGGGGGATTGGGGATGGGGAAGAGACTAGAGGGCTGTAGGCTTTTGGGTAGACCAGCTGCTCCTGAAGGAAAACAGGAGTAAAGGGAAGGAAGGTGAATTCTGAAAGTTACTGGAAACTAGACTTGTTCCTTATACTCTATTGTAATCAGGGACTAAAACAACCACACTGTTTTGTTTTAACTAAAAAAAGATTTCATATAGGTAAGGCTCACACAGACTCCATCCTGTAGGACAGCCACTGAAAAGTTTGAAGCAAAAGTGTTTAGAGTCAGGTTTCAGGCTTACTTCGGGGGGTGGGAAGATGAGGAGGGCAGAGGATGGAAAAGTCAGAGGTGGAGAAATCAATGAAGAGGAGCCACTTGATGACGGTTCATGGAAGACAGGCGAGGTGGCTGAGCTAAGGCAGTGACAGTGAACTGGGAGCAGAGAGGTAAGAATTACTCAGTGTCTACCCAGCACCTAAAATAAGTGGAATTGGACCACTGGAAACCACCATCTTGCATTTATTTTGAAGTTGTATTTATTTATCAATAATTTTATAGCCTTCACCAAGTGCCCTAGGAGATAGATGTTACCTAGCCTCATTTTGCAGCTGGGGAAACAGGTATCAAGAGGTTGAGTCACTTGCCCAAGGTCACACATCTAACAAGTGACTGTTAACTTAAAATTCCCAATTGGTGCTCTGATTAAGCCTTAATATCTATACATTCTTCCTAAAAACTATTCTTGGTCATCCACCTTAGGACAGTTTATTTTCACACTGAGAGTGGAAAGCTGCCTCCAGCCCATTGGAAGCAGCTGAGTATAGACTTTAAATGAATCTATTGATTAAATCAGCCATAACTCCCATCTCAGCCACCACCAGAAGCCACAGCATCTCCGAACAGGACACCAGCCAGCCACTTTGCTGAAAGGGTCCTGAGAGGGCTCCGGTGCCATCCCCCCACCCTGGGACTCAGCCTCATCACTGGTGCTGGTTTGAAATCCCACACGAGAAAATAAATGCTGTTTGCAATAACTGAACAGAGTTTAGACTGTGCATGGGAGCCCCAGAAGGGACTGTCCAGGGGAAAGCTGTTTTCCTTTGAGAAGCAATACTCGAGCTCAGGAGCGACCACTTCTGTCTAGGCCAGTGGGGAACACAAAATGGGAGCGGTGGGGAGCACACTATCCCACCCAGTCCTTTGCCAGGCCAGTAGATGGAGGTATGCAGGGCTGGGCTGAGCCCCCCGGGGCCTGAGGCCTTCTCTCCTGGTTCTGCCAGCTATGTGCTGTGACCCCTCGAATATTCCTTCTCTGCTCTCAGCCTCCGTCCCCTCCTGTGTAAAAGGATGACCCAAGAGCCCCTCCTCTTCTTCACTTTAGCCAGGCTCCCTCCACCCCGACCGGCTGTGCCTTTCCCAGGCTGTTTCTCTTCCTCAGGGCTCTCTAGTCCTACATTCACAGTGGGACCAAGGGGGCCCCGGAGACCCTGAGAGTTACATGCCCCTAGTTCACGTGTACATTCTTCCAGAGGAGGAGCATCATCAGATTCATCATCATTTCATCAGATTCCAAAAAATTGCCATGATCCAAATAGAGCTACCCAGTGTCAGACTTCCCTGTCCTCACCCATTACCTGTCCTAAGTTCTGCTTCCTCGGGTCCACGTCCTTTTCTGGACTGCAGTTGTGTGCGGGAGGTTTTCCTCCATGCTCTCCTAACGTATCAGTGATGCAACGATTCACCACACCCAAGTAGCAGAACCTCAAAACTGTTAAAATGCATGTCTTGGGAGTGCCACCAAGATGGCGGCCCTAGTGATGAGGCGGGCAGCCATCCTGGAGTCCTCAGGAATGCTCTTTAGATTACTTTGTATGGGTCACACTGGGGTGGAGGCCATCATTACCTTCTAGTAAATGCCCCCAAGCCAGTGCTTCGGCTCCACAAAGGGAGACCTGCTGTTCTGCACACAACAAGCCACCAGCCCCAGCTGGCTGCCCACCGATTCGAGCAGCGAGGCCTCTGTGGCCCGCAGCCGAGGCCCCTGGAGGAGCCCAGCTTGACCTTCTGGTTCTCTAGGGGGCAGCAAAACCCCCAGAACTGTTCACCGAACGCTGTTCTGCCACGTGTTTCTCATCACACCACTGTTTGTAAAAGCTGCCAGAGAGCCAAGAAATTGTGGTAGCCTTTTTTCAAACCCTTAGCTTTACTTTTTAAAAGAAAAAAAAAACCACATTCAAACACTCCAACCATTTTTTTTTTTAAATCACATTTGGTCCCGCAAAGCATTTGGTGTCAAAAGAAATTCAGGAAGTCTCAAGTAGTTTCTAAATGAGACTAACTTCCATTTCTTTCCTGAGACTGGCCTGGTTAACACTCAATAGGGAAGCACTGGGATCAGCCTGGTGATTACTGTCGAGGCATGCTGGGCCTCACCTTTCACCTCCATAGAGTGGCCAGAGTTCAGAGGATCCAGAACTGAGAGGCAGGAGAGCAGGCTCTGGCCACCTTTCTATCATGTTTGTGGGATGGCCTTGGGCCAGCCTCTCTCCCATTTCCTCATGAGGGGGTGGAACTGTGTAGTCCCAAAAATGCTTTTCAGCAGAAGCTCTGTGATCCCATGAGGATCTCAAAGCCCTTTTCCAGAGCTGGTTATTATTTAAAATACCCCTTGTGCATAGATGGTATGAGAAGAAGTCAGGAGGGCAAACTGATAACGTATCACAGCCCAGCAAGTAGTCAGTCAACTAGCAAGTACGTACTGAGGACAAACGGAGTCCTGAACATGGCCAGAATTGGAAGACGCTTTCAATTCATTATTTTTTGAGAAGTGTTTATAGATATCTCACAATAGAGAAAAACAAGAATTCTTCTCATCCTCCGGGAAGTAGAGAAGCAGCCTTGGTACCAAGGACAGGATCGAGTGGTGGCTGAGAAGATGGACTTTGGGGTCAGAATGGCTTGCATTCTAATCCACACCACGAGGTTGTGCCACATAAATTAGCCACAGAACCTCAGTAGCTTAGCAGAGTACAGTTTATTCCTCACTCTGGCAAAGTCTAAGTGGGCAGTATGGCCCTCTTCTGTATTATAGCCTTTGGAATATGTGACCCCCAAGGCTCCTTCAGCAGAGAAAAAGTAAGAAGGTTCATACCAAATGTTTTTAAGGGCCGGGGCTGTGAGTGGTTACATCACGTCCCCTCTCATCCTATTGGCCAGAACCCAGCCGCATGACCCCAATCTAACTGAGAGGCGGAAGCTGGGAAATGCAGAGAAGTACATGGATATTTAATCTTTAATTCTCACATCTGTAAAATAATGATTGTAATGTTGATCTTGTGGGACTATCATAGAAGATAATACTACTTAGCCTCGTGCTGAACATCAAGTAAAAAGCTCATGAAGTGGCACCTTGAAGCATTAGAGAGAGAAGGCACTACCTTTTTTGTGACTGTCTTCCAGATTTAATCATAAGGACCTGCGTCTAAAACCGCAGATCCCAAGGGATGTCTCTTAAGGACTAATCCAGACCCTGTCTACCTCTAAAGATCATTTGCTTAATTAGCAGAGACAAGACAAGCAAGCACACGGCCAAGGATCAGAAGAGTCAGAAGCATTAACCTGGTTTTCAAGTGAGGGTTTGGTGAGATGAAGAAACAGGAATAAAGGAAAAGGGAGAGAACTTTTCAGCTCATTAGAAAAAGGAGGGTCAACACTCAAGCTGCCACGGAGCCCCTAGGATCGGCAAAGGCCCCTCCATCAGGGCAGGAGAATTGTCTCTCTCTCTCTCCAGTGTATCCCCAACCCCAGGGACAGGACCTGGCCATGGTGGATGCTTAATGCATGCTGGTTTTATTGCATGGGCCCCTTGTGTTCAGTGGCATGGTGGCCTGTGGCTAGTCAGTGAGAAGTCAGTGGGGGCCCTAAGCCAGTCAGAGCACTTCCATCTGCATATATATATATAAAATTTCACTACTATTTACAAAAAAAATTTTTTACGAGAGGCCAACTGTTTTGCATCCCAGAACGAAGCTTAAGTGTATGTCTGAGATGAATGCTTTTGAAATAAGATATCTTAAAAATAGAACGGAGAGAAATTGTCATCAGGTAGAGCAGGGATCAGCAAACTTCTCTGTAAGGGGCTAGATAGCCTTTTTGGCTTTGGGGGCCATAGAGTCTGTGTCACAACTCCGCTGCTGTAAAAGTGCAAACAGCCATATACAACACGTAAATGAATGGACATGGCTGTTTTCTAATTAAATGTATGAATACTGAAATAGGAATTTCATATTATTTTCACAGATCCCAAAATACTACCCTCCTTTTGATTTTTTTCATTTAAAAATGTTATAAAAACTATTCTTAGTTCATGGGAGGTATATGAACAGATATTGGGCTGAACTTGGCCCATGGGCTGTAGTTCACTAACTCCTGAGTTAGAAAAATTCACCATCTCTTTGATTGTCATCAGACCACATCACCGTCTTACTTCAAAGATGTTTTTATGGATGAGACACTATTTCTTAGCCTTCTAGAGAAACAGAATGTACTCTGTAGACCACTTATTTGCATATACAAAATATGGTATAAATATGGAGCGAACATGAATGCCCTTAACATCCCAGTATAGTAGCCTCCTCAGGTCTAGTTACCGAAATCAGTGAGATTAATATTTGGATACACATTTCCCACAAAGACAAACTTCAAATGGGACATTAAGGACATTAAGCTGTACAATAAAGTCTCAGGAAATCATAGTGCTTAGAAAACAGGCCAGCATTAGCCTGGTTTCCCTGAACACATGGCCCTTTGTTGTCCATCTTAAATTTGGTTCTACCTACTCATGATGGGCCCACACTGATGATGAAGAAGTTGTCAGATTATTGCAAGTCTGGTCAAATGATGGCATAAAGCAAAACAAAACAGCAAACCCAAACAAATAGTCTACTGAAAATGCATTTTCTAGGCCCTCTCTTTTTACCTTATCAAGCAAGAACAAAGAGCACTTGGTATTTATTAATAATAATTTAAGGCAATCAGTTCTGAGAGCCTGCCAGATTCTGTGTGCAAAGGCCAAAATAAGGAAGGATGACCCTAAATTGCCATGGGCTTGGATTACCTAGCATCCTGCAGGAAACTTGCCTGGTGCCCCCAGTGACAGTAGATGAATCTGATAATTCCCAGTACACTCAGGAAGATGTGTGTGCTGAACCTGTGCAGAGCGCCCTCTGCAGGCGGATGGGGAGAGTGCATTCATGGTGTTCCTCTGAGCTGGAGGGAGGGCTTTGGGGCTTTAAGGGTAAATAGCAGAGTCCAGGAGAGGCCAGAAGACACCGAACTGGAGAGCTGGGCTTCCAGAGTGAAGCTGCCTGGGTTGAAGTCCTGGCTTTGCCCCCTAGCCATGTGACCTTAGGCAAATTGCTTAACTTCTCTGGGCCTCCTTTTTCTTACGTGGGAAATGAGCCCAATCAGAGTACCAATAGAACTGTGAAGAATAAATGGTGGATACATGTAAAGGGGCTAGAACAGTGCCTGGCATGTAGCAGGCACTCAGTGCAAGTTAGCTTTTGCAGATATCAGAGAAGTGGTGTGATGGAACAGGAAGAACACTGCGGGCCGGGTTCTCACAGTCCCCCAACGATTTATTAGCCGTGGGTCCTTAAAGAACCCTTTTAGCTTTCTGGTCTCTAGCTGCCTTCCCTGTAGAGTGACGACCAGAATGCCTTCTGTATCTGCCTGATGGCAGAGGGCTGGACCCCACGACTTTCCGAGGACTCTTCCAATGGCAATATATGAAATTAAACAGTCACCTAGCATGGCCCAAGAGTGGACAGTCTTAGCTAGCTAATGGGTCAATCAAGGAGCAGCGAGAGAGAGAGAGAAAGAGAGAAGGAAAGAAAGAAGGAAGGAAGAGAAGGGAAGAAAGAAAACAAATAATTTTTGAAGACTTTTCGGTTCACATTATTTACATTAAAGGAAATTTAAAAAGTATTTTTCTTTTTAACATAAAGCAATCAAACAGTGGGCAGTAGACATCTATTCACCCAGAGATCACAAAGGTCCACATAATGGATAATGATGATAGGTAAGCAACTGTCCCCCATCTCATTCCACCCTGCCTGGCCATGCACATAAAATGTTTGTGAAATAACATTTCTAGAAAATCTGATCGTACTAAGGGGGTCAAAACCATGGATTCCCACATAAGCAAGCTTATCTCATTCAGTTTTAAAACCAACAGAAACTAGTCCTAACTCTGGTCTGCCTCTTCTATTCTTCTGGCTTCAAATGAAAGACTGTGCCAAGGTGAGAGGCTGGATCATTGCAAATCTAGCTCCATGCCTGGAAATAAAGTAATCAGAAACACTCGTCCTGCTGTTAGAGCCTGGTAGATTCCACTATTACTGCACATGAATAAGAAGCGTGTGGAGGATACTTCAGAAGAAGACCAAGGGTACCCTTTCTTTTGAGAAAAGTCTTGAAAGCCTCAATGGCAAGGTGCCTACTATCTCCTGGCTTCTAGAATTAGTTCTGTACAGTTAGGATTATCATCACAGACCTGGCAGTGGATAGTTATTTTAATGTGGGTTGGGGAAATGTCAGGGACCACACTCGATGTAGAGGCAAGCTCCTCCAGAACTTTGATTAGCCCTTTCTTTGGTGCAGCACTGTATGGTGGTCTCGGATGAGACTCGGGCCCTCTGAGGGGCCTTCTGGTTCCCTGCCCACAGATTGTGTCCCCCACAGGCAGCTCTCCTCACCTTCTTGACCTCTGTTTTCTCTGCCAGTGAACTGAGACAGAGAGTGCCCACCCTCCCTATAGGTTGGGTGTAAGATCCCCCCCAAAAGATTTGCAGATCGAACTAGAAAGGGGGATGTTGTGCATCGTGTTGGGCATAGTCTCTCCCTTAAAGGAACTCCATGTTCTCACTGATTCAAGAACACCACGCCTTCCATTCCAGGTACCCCAAACTGGCTGCGAAGCACCGGGAATCCAACATGGCCGGCATCGACATCTTCTCCAAGTTCTCGGCCTACATCAAAAACACAAAGCAGCAGAACAATGCTGGTGAGTGACCCACTTGCACCCACAGCTCCTGGCAGTTGTGCCCACTACCCAGGACATCTCAGGTACTCGGGTCCGAGAAGCGCCTGGAGCTGGTGCTGTTCACTGTTTGCCCACATCCATATCCCCCTGTGACAGAGGGAGGGCGTGTCAATCCTTCTTTTTGTCTAGTGCAAGAGAAAAAGCCAGTGGGCCTTTGTGCTGAATTTGGAGGGAGGGAGACACCTTGTGTTCTGAGCCTGCTTTACTGCACAGCGTAATGGTCTGCCCAGAAGTTTCCTGCCTTGGCCATACCACAAATTTGGGGCAATTGTCCCAAATTCACAACCCTGCCTGGGTTCTTGGGAGGCCCTGCCTGGAACCACATAGTCCAGCTTCCTTCTGGTCCCTGCAAGCCTTCTCAAGGGGTCGTGCAGAGGTCATGGGGGGACAGCACGGTCACCATGTTGGTGAATGCTGCAGGTAGACCCCAGCCCTCTGCTTCTTCCCCCTACTGCAAGTGCAGAGGGTACTGGGGAAGCCACAGCTTAAAACCTGTCTCCTCCTCCAACTGGCCGTGGCTACAGAGCCCAAGACTAGTTCTCCTGTGAGGCCTTTTCAGGGGGGTCTCAGTGCCTCATTTAAGCTCCTAGCACTTTAAGTACCTCATTTGGCCTTTCCTTTAAGAATTAGACAAAGCAATTCGAATAGAACCATCCAACTGAGTATGTGTAACACTTAAGAACTGTGTTAGGCCCTGGGAGGAAAAAGAAGGATGAGCAAGTTTGCTTGCCTCCCAGTGGGAGAGTGAGACAGCCTTATGGGCAGAAGCCTGGAGCCCAGCACAGAGGCAAGCAGAGCAAGGACTTCACGAATCTTTGTGAATGAATGAGTGAACAAATGACCATCAGATGAACACAGAATGGACCCACACAAGGTGGGATATGTTAGACACTCCAGGAGCTCAGAGGAGAAAGGCATCTTTTTGGACAAGGTGACCGGGAAGGGCAGCCATCGTGAAGCGAAAGGGAAGACGTTTTGGCAGGAACAGAGTTGGTGCAGCGGAAAGTAAATATTTTGGTAACAGTTATTGGGGGCCTGGATTATAAGGGGCACAGACTAGATTCTACAGTAACTAGAAAAAGATACTTCCCCAGTCTTGAAGACGTGGGTCGTACAGGAGAAAAGGCTTTAACTGGCAAAAAGTCAAACAGCAAGAAAAGAGATAAATGATGGCCTTGTCAAGGAGTCTGAGGAGTTGATTAGCTGCCGTGTGAAAGGGGAAGCGAAAGGTGTTCAGAGGTGTTCAGAGCAGGAAGAATTTACCTCAGGACCTTTGAGGAAGCTGCTCTGAGGGGGTTTCACCTGGCTCATGAAGGTTAAGGGGGAGTCAGTTGGCTTCGCATAAAAGGAGGAGGTCATGGCGGGAGGTGGAAAATGCCAGTGGCAGAGACTGAAGAGAGTGGCCAGAGCCTGCAGCGCCAGCCTGGAAGGCTGGGCTTTATCTTAGGAGCCACGGCAGCCATTAGAGGCGTGGAGGAGGCACGAGAAGGAGACTGGCCTTCAGGAACAAGAAGAAGAAGAAGAAGGGATGTGGAGAGGTTTTAAACATGGGTAGTGCTCTAGCTTCCGTGCTGTTTGGACCTTGGTGGGCAGAAGAGTGTCCCCAACAGAGCCATGTCCGCCCGGGACGCGAGAGTGAGGCCTTATTTGGAAATAGGGTCTTTGCAGATGTAATTAGTTAAGGGTCTCAAGATGATATGGTCCTGGATATAGTGTGGTCCCTAAATCCCACCACTGGTGTCCTTGTAAGAAGGGGAGTGGGCACACGGAGACCCGGGGAGAGGTTCGTGTGAAGGTGGAATGGAGATTGGGGTGCGACAACCAGATTGGGGGGCCACCGGAAGCTGAAAGAGGCGAGGAAGGACTCCCCCGTAGAGCCTCGGGAGGGAACAGGGCCCTGCTGACAGCTTGATTTTGGACTTCTGGCCTCTCAAACCGGGAGAACAGATTTCTGGTGTGTTGAGCCACCCAGTTTGTGGTGCTTTGTTGTGGTGGGGCTGGGACGCAAAGGCAGCCCCTCTGGGCCGGGTGCACAAGGGCATTCAGCTCTAGTTTGCAGATTCCTCATCCAAGGCCCTTTCCTCTCAGCCACAAATACCTTCCTTCAGACTTGTGGAAGCACCCTCAGAAGGATTATCTCATGGGGGCCTTTCAGGGTTTTCAAGTTACAAATGGTATTTACATAGTATCCATATTTATAGTTCTCCTATCCCCAACCCCAAAGCAGCAGTTTCCACTGAACATCCCGTATCGGTTTCTTATAAATGCAACGCTCTCCAATTTCCATTGTTTCCACTTCTTCTCTTTCCCCCTGTTTTTCTCTGGGATGGGTTCTGCCCTTGTGACTCCTTCTCCCCTGAACTCATCTGCCCCGGCCTTTCTGCTGTCCCAGAGAACCTGTCCCCATCACAGCCCTTGGCATGGGGGTTCTTCCGTCCTGCCTTTAACTGGACTCCGTGCATTTGTTCCTTCCCTATAACCCACTGCCCTCCTCCTCCACTTTCCCTTCCCTCCACCCATACCCCCCCAGTTCAGGTCTGACAGAGCGTAAAACCATGGCCCACCCCACGCGGCCGCTTGCCCTGGAGACGGTCCACACCCCGCTCTGCTTCGCGCCAGCCCGGTAGCAGGCAGCCCCTCCTGAGGCTGCAGCGAGACCCCAGGCTTCCTTTGACACCCCTCCCTACACGACTTTCATGTTTCTCTCTCTGGATCTTCAGCTCTGCATCTATTTCTTCAGTGTCCCTTCTTCAGATTGTCCCTTTTGCGTTTTCAACTTTCTTTTCTCTTGAAAAGAGCCCTCCCTCCCACCTTGCCATCTAAAGCCTCCCAGACCCCATATATACACTTGGCCGTGGCGGTGTGCCTTTCTTGCCCTCTGGACGTCAAAGTGTGAGAAAACCCAACCCGGTGACATGGTCCTGCCCAGTGGGTCATCTCTCCACTCCCGTGGTGGATACAGGGACTGCCATTCAAAATGTCCCTGTTTCACAAAACCTCAAAAGTCCCCAGCTACTGAGACCCAGACCCTATGCAAGGAAGCCAACCACAGCTAGCATACAAGAGAACTGTCCTTTAGTTTGTACATCCGGCCGTTCGTTTATTCATTCAGCAAACACAGGTTTCATGGAGTGGCTACAAGTCCAAGCTAGTGTTTAAAGGGAATTTCTTGTGTACCAGGCACCATGCTAGGTTCCGGCGTTGTCAAGACAAATGAGACCAAGTGGTTGCTCTCAATGAGCTAACTGGGGGACTGTAAAACATATAAACAGGCGATTACTGGCCTGGGTTGGGGCTCCACATCTGCTGTTTTTAGGTGTACAACTTTTCTAGAGAGACTGCTCTCTGAGCCTCTGTTTCTGCGTCTATAAAATATACTTAGTAAGATTTTCAATTTCTGGATCTGCCAAATAAGGCAATTAATAGCATAACCGGGTTGTAATGCAGATTCATTGACTTTGTAAGTCAGGGCCTACAAATCCTGACACATGGGAAATGTTCATTTACTGTTAACTCTGATCATAGTTGCTCCTGAAAAAACGAGGCAAACATGAGTACTGGCATCAGAAACTACCGCTTCAGCTCTGATTCCCGCCACCCCCAGCCAGCACTTCCCAATCTCCCACTCATGTCATCTCATTTCTACATGTTTAACTTTGTTTCCCACTTTCTTGGTGCCTTCTTCTCCTCTCCAAGGATACGTGGAAGAGCGTCCGTGCCCTGGCCCTGCCTGTCACACCTTCAGGATTGTTGCATTCGACCCCGAAGTCAGGGTTTTATGCTCTGGTTTGGTGTCTTATCACTGTACGGCATCCTCCCTCCGAAACCACCCCATCCGGGTCCCCTTGAGGGCAGACCCCACCTCCAGGCCCCGCCAGGCCCCCTTCTCAAACTTGCTCTTCACCTCACCTAAAGATAGCCCGGACTTTCTCTTGAGTCTCTCTCTCTCTCTCTCCCTTTTCCTGCTTGTGTGCTCTCAAATAAATAAATAAGTAAGTAAGTAAATAAATAAAATGAATGAAAGTCTCAAGATCCCATAGTTAGTAAGATGTTACATGGGCTTACTTTCTTGTCACTTGGGATCCCCTACCACCACCCTGATTTGCGGGGGACACAGGACTTTGTTTCTGGACGGGCTGCATTCCCAAAGCTCAGAGACCAGCAACTGGATGGTGGTTCAGCTTGCAGACTCTGAAATCCACTGCCTGGGTTCAGACCCCAGCTTCCCTCTCTTCTTGCTGGCCTTAGGACACTGGGCAACTTACATCAACTCTCAGTGTGCCTCAGTCTTCATCTGTAGAGTGGGGGCAGTCACTGTCCATACCTCATAGGTGTGCTGGGAACAACGTCCCCTCTGGGTTCAAACGTCAGCCCTTGTGCTGGGCTGTGTCCAGGGGCAAACGGGTACACCTCAGCAGAGAGGTCTGCGATAAAAGTGTAGCTTGAGAGGGTATATATATGATATAGTCCATGAATGAGAAGAAGGGAGCACTAGGGACAACATGAAGGATCACCTCCCCTTATGGGAGGGCAGCGAGAGAGAAGTCAGGGAGGAAGGGTAAGAAGGATCGGCCAGGGAGTAAAGAAGAAAGCTGGGAAGGGCAGAAGACAGGGAAGATCCTGAAGCTGAGGAAGGAAAGTTTTTGTTTTTGCTTTTGTTTTTTTAAGAGTGACCTCTGGTACAAAATGCTGTGCAAAGGATCATGGGAATTTTCGTGTTGTGCACAGCTCCCTGGAAGAGTCCTCGGGCATCCTTCTCTGACCACACCTCCCTCGCCTGCAGCAGCCCATTACTCAGATCCTACACAGCAGGAGGGAGTCCAGGCTGGCCGGAGAAGCAGGGACCTTCTCCCTTGGCGGGGAGAGGGGGGGTAGGCGCGGGAGGAGACCACTCGGAGGGAGTGCTGGTGGCTCCGAGAAAGGACATCTCTGAGCGTGGAGGGAGCAGATTTGGCTGGGTG